TTCACTCAGTCATCATAGATCAAATGGCCGTTACTTTCAACGGGACATCAGAACATCATTTACAATCAGGTAAATTTTCACTGGGAATTTGAGGTTCCATGAGATGCAACCGCCTGACAAATCACAAGATGCCAGGGAAGGGGGTGACCCGCGCCCCCAGACCAAGGACTGTCCCTTTCTTTCTGGCCGGCACTGCGCATTCCATCCCTCCCGAGGACAGCCTTGCGGGGTCAGTAATATTCGTTCCATTTTATGGATGTGGAAGCTGAGGTCCAGAGAGCTGAAGTAAGTGTCTTGCCCAAGCTTCAAGCAGTTGAGCTGGAACTCGATGAAGTCTGTCTTATGTCAAAGTCCACGCATTTTCTCTCCTCAGCTCGAGGCCACTCGGCGTGGTCCCTGCACCAGCAGCATCACTTGAGAGCTTGTTAGAAATGCAGAATTCTCAGTCCCACCCAAGAACCACACGATCTGAACCCCCATTTTACCAGGATCCTCAGGTCACTGATGTGTACTTCCAGGCTTGACAGACTACACACTTTAACATTCTGCCTCTCTGAATGTCACTACTGGGATCCCTTCCCATAGATCCCAAGGTGGTGGTGGGATTTTTGCTTCCATATTCATGAGATATTGGTCTCTAGTTTTCTTGTGCTATCTCTGTCTGGTTTTGGTATCAGGGAAATGCCGGCCTCATAAAATGAGCTAAAAAGTGGTCCTTTCTCTTCTATTTTTTTTTGGGGGGTGGGGGATGGGGGGAGTCATTTGTGAAAATGTGGCATTAATTTTCTTGAAAATTACACTCTTCACTTGTAGGTCTATTTAGATTGTCTCTCTCTCTTTTTTTTTTTCCTGAGGGAGAGGAGAAAGGCGTGAAGGAGGTGGGTAGATTATCTCTTCTTGAGTCAATGCTGGTAGCTGGTATCTTTAGGAATTTGTCCGTTTCATTTAAGTTGCATAACTCTTTGGTATAGAACTGCTATTTTTCTTTTTTATGTGTGTTGTTGTTTTTTTAAGTCTTTTATTTCTCTATTCCTCCTTTACTACTTGCTTTTTCATTGAGTGAATATTTTCTAATGAAGCATTTAAATTTCTTTAATAAATGTTTCCACTATATTTTTAAAGATTTTTTAAAATATATTTTATTGATTTTTTTACAGAGAGGAAGGGAGAGGGATAGAGAGTTAGAAACATCGATCAGCTGCCTCCTGCACACCTCCTACTGGGGATGTGCCCGCAACCAAGGTACATGCCCTTGACCGGAATCGAATCTGGGACA